ATGCACTGTGGAAACTTGAAAAATAAACAATGGTGAAGGACTACGGGGAGGGTGCAGGGTGGAGGGAATCAATGGAGCGAAAGGGGGACATTCGTAATACTTTCAACAATAAAGACATACAAGAAAGAGAAAAGAAAAATAATGAATTACTGAACTCTGCGTGTCTGGTCTCCGCGCTTCCCACCGGCATTCCCTACAGCCGGTTTTGCTCGGCCAGCTCCGCCCCAGCTCCTACGCACCAGCAGGGCGTGACGAAGCTGGAGGCTCTGTCCCCTGCGGGCCCTTTCGGAGCTAGGAGCCGCGTCGGCCCCCTGGTCCCGCCTGAGCCAATCCGCAGCCAATCCAGAGCCAACCTGGGCTGCTCGACTCTGAGCGCAGCCAATGGGCGCGGGTCACTGCCCACCTCGCCCCGGCGTTCGCTGCGCCCGGTCGAAAGCCAGAGACTGGCAGTTGCGCCCGCAGTTTCTCTGCCAGCCCGGCTCAGGCATGGCGACCTCGGCGGCGGGGCTCGTAGTCATAGTTGGCAGGTAAGCAGCGCCTGCGGGACCCGCGGAGGGAGAGCGGAGCACCCTGTTGGTTCTCTCCGCGCAGACGCAGTGGAGGGCCGGAAAGCAGATAGAGCAGGTTGCGCGCAAACACGGTTTAGGGGACTGTCGGGTGATGCAGCTGGCGAGCGAGCCCAAGTGAACCTGCGGGTCATTCAGTGTGAGCCTGAAGTCTGTCTGAAGAACTGAGTTGTTAACTATTCCCACTTATGGAAGAGAAAACCGAGATTAAGCAGTCTAGGCACCCAGGTCCCAGGCAATAAGCGACGGAGATGGGAAGAGCCCGGAAGGGGGTGTCCGGTGCCTGGGGGGCGTGGGAGCGCGTTCTGGTCTCCACGGTGCCGCCGGGGTGGGAACTGGTGCTTGGCGACGGAGAACTTTGGAGCCCAGTTTGCTAAGGTGTGTCAGTCAGCCTAAATTCCATCGAAATTGTTCGGGTTGGTACTCCCACTTCCTTTTATAGTTCCTGTTATTTTTATTTAAAAAGGCACTTATGTGTACCTTACCATCGGTAAGCTCTCGTATCACTCTGTCCATATGTTGATACTATCCGCATGTTGATACCTGCTGTTGATAGTTAGAAGCACCTTATTTGGGGTGGCTTTGTGACCCTTTATGCCACTAAGGTGTTCGCCTGTCCGTCCCCCGCTCCCTCCCTACCCCCCGTCAGTTTTACAGTCTTTTAAAGGAAGGAGTCAGTTTGCCTTTTGTCAGCTTTCTTTTGCTCGCAGAGCAGGGGCATTAACTCTGTCCTTGTCCTTTCCAGGCACGTGGGTATATGTGGCTGCCTAGTAAAGGGATATAAAAAATATGTATGTGTGTAAGTGCACTTTGCATTGGGTATGGTGACTCCGCTTGCCTTGCATTTTTGATGTCCAGGGCTGGAGTGGCGCTGCCTCTGCACCTCAGCAGGGCGAAGGAGTGCAGTTCCGGGTGGGAGCTGCCATTGGCCAGTCAGCCTATTTCTGATTCCTTGAGGGAGGGTGACAGGGAATTAGGGGATAGCACAAACTATAATGGGCACGGGACATAGCACAGGATAGCTATTCCTGTCTATCCCCACACTCTCAGCACCTCAAGGACACTTATCTCTGCTTCAGGGGTAGCACTGCTTTCCTGCCTGTCATCCTTTTCTCTCCCTCCCTTTCCTCTCTTCCCCTTTCTTTCCCTTTCTCTCTCACTCCCATAGGTGATTCCAAAAATAACATCCATTTAAATTCCCTAAAACCTGGTTGAGTTTCATTCTTGGATTTCAGTAGACCAAAAAATAACATATTTCAGTTTCAGGAACCTGTTGGGCCATTGTTTTTCCATCAATGCTAGATTTATCAATATCAGATTCCCTCTTAGAAGTCCTTGCTAGAAATATAGTCTCTATTTAATTCTTATCCACTCATCTTTTCTTAAAGGCAACTCTTTCTTAGGACCACTTAGCTTTTCTGTGAACCCCAAGGCAAGCCCCTTCAGAATGGTGGGCTTGAGAGAGTAAGAGTGTGCTTTTGAAAAGTTAAGAAAGGAGTGAAGGGCTGCAGGAACATAAAGAGAGGGAAAATCTGGTAATGACAACTTTAAAAAATGGTGGTAGAAATGGGTATCCTGTAGACAAATTTGCATTTGGGTGGAGACCTCAGGCATTCATTTCTGTTGGCTTTACACATCTACAGAGGAACTTATTCCTGTATATAACTGAATAACTGAAGTTTATTAAACAGACACCTCATGTAAATTGGAGTCAGGAGGGCCTGTAGCGGGGAGCTCTCATGTCCTATCCCTCAATGTCAATTACCCCAACCGGGAAGAACCATGCTTAGGGAAGTTTTTCTACTCTGCTGCTCAGGAGAATTTTCTCCTAGGGCAACCACTCAACCAATGAAATACTGTTACAGCTCAGCCAATGAAAAGCCATTACCAATGGACTCTGTTTACAACAGTCCCTCTTAACTCCCCCTTTCCTTTTTCCTCTGGACTTGCACGAGCTTTGCCCTTGGACTGCATGTCTAGAATTGCAATTCTTTGTTGTTCATAAACCCATTTTGCTGGAGAACTATCAGGCTATTTGTTTAAGGTCAACAGCTAATATGGCAATGTGTTCACCCACATTTTAGACCTTGAGCTTGGTTGAAAATAGGAATCTGTATGGGGGAGAAGACCAACCTTGTCATATTACTGGTTCTCCTTTTCACTGGGCATACTCCTTCAGTCCTTCAGGACTGAGCTCAGGAGCCATCTCCTCCAGAAAATGCTCTACTTCTAAGACCTTCCCCTTAGAGTAGAACCTGTACCTTCCTGGTCCTAGTAGACAGATGTTTGAGTGTTTATAACAGCGATTACATTGGAAAAAAAAACCTGATGTGCAATGTGAAGGGCTTACTAGAACATTGTTTTATATCAAGTAATGCATCCTTGAACTAGTCTTTATTTTTTTTCTATTCCAAAATTTTACTTTAGGTGACTATGTATATTTTTTGTAAGAAACTTTCTGAGGCATGAATTTATTTCAAAGTGCTACTGTAGATATTTTCTTGCTAATTTTTGCATTTAAATGCACAAACACAGATGTATATATGGAGACACAGAGAAAACCATAGGGTGTTCTAATTACTTGAGTCAGCTCAAACACTAAATTTGTTCTTCCTAGGGAATTTTTAATAGTTCTTATTGACAAATATCCCATAGTCTACTTATATCAAGAGTGTAGGGACAGTTTTACTTCAACTTTTAGCAAGTAAATAAGTGACTGTAGAATGGAAAGTTACTTTAAAAAGTATCTAGGGTAGATTTATTCAAAGCTAAGTGCCACTAATGATAAAATTAGAATTGAACCAACTTTTTTGTCCTGATGCTTTGTTACTGTGTAACAATCCACTTTTGTGAATTTAAGAGCTTTAAAGCATATTAGAATAGTCAGAATGGTAAGGGTCCATTATATGATCCTCAGGCATCTAGGGGTTTAGAAAAAGTTAATAAGATGTCCCAGACTCTAAGAACAGGAAGCCAATGGCCTTTGGGCCTGATGTAAATTAGTACTGAGGACAAGAAAGCCCAACAGAAACCAAGGCGGTGAACTTTCCTTCTGGGCCTGTGTAGTCTGTGCAATCTTTATACCTCTCTTTACATTAGTCAGCTCTGTACATTCCCTTTGCCTGTGCATGTTCACTTTTCTGCCCCCTCCCTCACTTCTTTATCTTGCACATTCCTGCAACCCCACCATCATAATGGTTCAATTCTAGTTCCTATCACTGACTTACAGTTTCTATATTTTGGGCCTGATTTTCAGGAGAGAAAATCTGATTGGCTCAGCTTCTCTATGCGGATAATCATTGGGTACTGGTAAGCCAGTTTATTGGCTGCTTCAGGTCATGTGTTCACTTCACCTCTAGTCATCAACAACTGAGTATGTGTGTGTGGGGAGGGTGTGTGGTAAGGGTTGGTAGTGGATTCCCAGGTGTTAGCATTCTGCTTCTGGTAGGCCCTATAGGGGAATGTGGGCAATACAGGCCATGAAACCTACTGCAGTAAAAATAAACCAACTTTGTCTTTAATGCCTGATATATGGACTATAACTAATTTCTCCCCAAATTTTTATTATGAAAATTCTCAAACACACAGAAAAGGTGGAAGTACAGAAAAAAGAATACCCACACACCCACCTGTGTTCAACAATTGTTAAAAATTTGTTATATTCGCTTTATCTGTGTTCAATTTACTTAACCAATTATGAATATTAAATGGTTAGCTTTTAATTTTTTGCTAATATAAATTCTACTATGAACAGATATCTTTGTGCATTGCCCATATGAACTTAAAATTAATTTTAGAAGTAAAATTTTTAGGTCAAATACTATAAACACAGTTTTGATACAGGGTGTTAGACTGCCTCCTGATACTTTACATCAGTTTTTATCTCCCCAGTAGTTTGTGTGTACCCATTTCCCCACAATGTCATCAACACGAAGCATTGTCAGTCTTTAATCTCTGTCATTCTGATATATATGTTACTTGCTATTAGACTAAAGCAGTAGAATCTGTTTTCAAGTTAGTTATTGCCTGTTCATATACTTTTTTCAGGCCTTTCCCCTCTCATGTTTGTTATGTTCATCTTTTACTTCTGGGTTTGTAGGCATTTTTATATTTATATATTATAAATATTATTTCCTCTTGGACATTTGTCTCATGTTGATTTTTTTTTGCCATAAACAAAGTTATTAAAATCAGTTAGTTTATTTGGCTTACACTATTCAAATATGAGGACCTTCGTGTGTTGGAGTATTGTAAAAAATATCTTTGATGGAAAGGTTGGAAACTAGTGTTTTAGTGTGAACACTCCCCCACCCCCAACTGCATTTATAGATGACTACAGCCCCCTTGGAGATGTGACTGACTTCTGTATGATTCTAGCTTAGTAGAATATCTGGAGGTGGAACTATGTTTCCTGTTATAAATTAACAACTGTGATAAATGATTGAATTATAACACTAGGTAATTGTTTAAGTCACTACTGCTCTTTAGAAAAATAATGTAAGCCACATATGCAAGCCACATACATAATTAAATTTTCTCTTGTTACCTTAAAAAAGTTAAAAGAAAAGGTGATATTAATTTTAATAATATATTTAATTAGCATAATATTTCCAAAGTTATTTCAACATGTAATTTCTATAAAATAATTTTAATGAAATAGTTTACTTTTTTTTTTTTTGGTATTATCTTCAAAATCCAGTGTGTATTTTATACCTGTAGTGCATGTCACTTCAGACTGGTTTTGACTATAAGCAAACAGATAGCCAAATATTTCTCCAGCAAAATGGATTTATTCAGGATTAATAGGGACTTGCAATTTGGGACATGTGGTCTTCTGGCAAAACTCAGGCATTTTCTGAGAACAAAGGAGAAAAGAAGTTGGGAGAGCTGTGATGAAGAGTTCTTCCTGTTGGGCTCTACCATCTAGGGGCATGAGAGCAACCCCTCTGGCCTCCTGACTTCATTTTAAATGAGGTTTCTGTTTATGAATTTTTTCACTAGCCACTTTTCAAATGCTTAACAGCTCTGTTTGGCTGGTGGCTCCTGTTCTGGACATTCAGGTTTAAGTAATTGATGTAACTCTTGTTAAGAAAGCAGATCTTCAAAAAGCTGCCTTCTCCCCCTCTTTTGTGGCTACCACTGCAATGCAGATTCATTTGAGAGGTGCTCAGACTTATTTTGAAAAAGCAAATCAAGTTGTGGGAGGAGGTTTAACTAATGAGATGACTCTGTTATGTTCTCCTTTATAGAAAGTCTTTTCTGTAAAAGCAGCTATAGCACTTTGGGCTTTTATAAAAATAGCAATTGAAGCACCTCACCCTTCTACCATTGTTCAGCCCGTCAGCTCTTCCTGTTTCCCATACCTGGCATTTGCAGTTCCCTTTTCCTCTCCACCATTTCTCTCAGTTTCACTGTGTAGTGAACACAGGATGTCAGGGCACCCAGTAGATTGAGGGTCTGATGCTAAGGTTGTTTTAGAGGTTGATATTCTCATCCCTGAGGATATCAGGGTCAGGTACCTGATCAGCATGTGAGCAAAAGCTTTTACATGTATGGATGAGTCATTTTGTAAGGGTATAGTATTTTTTTTTTTTTTAATATATTTTTATTGATTTGAGAGAGAGGAGGGGAGAAGGAGAGATAAAAACCTCAATGATGAGAGAGGGTCATTGATCAGCTGCCTCCTACATGTCCCCTGCTGGGGATCGAGCCCGCATCCAGGGCATGTGCCCTGACCTGGAATTGAACCTCAGTCTCCTGGATCATAGATTGATTCTCAAGCTCTGAGCCACATGGGCCGGGCAGGGTATGGTATTTTCTTAAACCGCAAAGTGGCAAAGAAAAGAATTCTCTTTTTAGGAAATATCTTTATGACTTATGTTTTACCTACAGCAAAGTGTAGAAATCATGTATACAGCTCGATGATTATCACAGAGTGGACACACCACTGTGAAGGAATTCTAGATTTAGGCTGCATTAAGGGCTTCTTTTACAGTTAAATAAGTCACTGTATGTTTCAAACATTATGATAAGGGCAATAGGAGGAAAATGTTTAAGGTCAATGGCTGGTCAGTTGGGGTGACCAGCATGAATGTTAATTGGCCTTCTAACCAACCACCTTGCAGCTCTGGAGTGTGTGTGTGTGTGTGTGTGTGTGTTTTTGAAGAACAGAAAAATCTCTTCATGCATGGAACTATCTCCAACTCTGGGTTTCTTTTTTCTTCAGATGATCTAGATTGCTCTGGCCAGTAGAACCTTGTCCAAAGACAGAAATGCTCTATATATACCCTTGCTGTCTAAGATGGTAGCCACTATCACATGTGGCTGTTGAGTACTTTAAATGTGCTTGGTACTCTTGATAAACTGAGTTTTAAAATTTATTTATTTTTAATCAACTTAAATACCTGCACGTGGCTAGAGTCTACCATATTGGACAGTGCAGGTCTAGAGCACAGAACATTTCATAAAAAAATTATAGGAACATGATACATAAATTTTGATTGCACAAGATTTCAATATTGCAGAAAAATGTTGAGTAAAATATACTGTAAAATTGCACTCCCTTCTCCAGAAGTTGAGTAGAGGTTATTTCAGTTGTTTTCACCCTGTTTTTTCATTAAATGGTTTCACATAAGATACCTTATAAGAAGACTGTAGCTCCACTCATTGATCTCTTGTATGTATTAAAGGCTTAGCTCAAGTGAGCATCCCGTGAGAGCTTTGAAGCTCGGATAGCACTTCTGTGGCATTAGCAGGATTTTTCAAGTTAATGGGAGGTGTGCCAAGCTCTTTCTTTCAATCACTTGGGTCCAAAAGCTATGACAGAAGCTATGGGGATTGTAACTATTTCTGGTGTCAGGCCCTTCCTGTGCTCAGAACCTGAACTACAGATTAGCTGAATAAGGAGGAAGTAGGGGGAGATGGAGGAGTGGGGAGAATGCTTTTTGGAGCCCACCCTGTGACTGCTATTCTAGCCTCCCCTTCCCAAAGTGGCTTATATAGTTACTGCAGTGAAATAACACCATGACTGAGACAAAGCTTGCCCTACTGTACGTTCAGGCTACCTTCATGCTAGTAAGTTAGCTGTTTATTGTTTCTTGAATGCTGGCAGAGGACATGAGACTGCAGGGTCAGAGACAAAGGACTTTATTAATCACATCAGAGCAGGCAGCATGAACATTATACTTGCGTTGGTTCCCTTCTCCCCGAGTCTCATGGAGGTGAAGTGGAGGGGCCAGGTGGAGACCTGCAGATTCAGTGAGTGTGTTTCAGGAGAGGGACATGGAACTTGAGGAAGCCACCATTTTTATAGTAGGAGGTAAGCAAGCTTGCTCTTTGTCCTCAAGGGATATATTTTCTCTTCCCTCAACATTGTTCTGCAAACATAGCTCAGAAATGGTCTGCGTCCTGGCAGTTTACTTGTTGAAGAACATGGGTTATTTGTAAAACTTCCCACATTCTGGAATTTGCTGAATGTAACCCTGTAATGTCATTTAACGTGTTCCTCTGTCCTTTTATTTTCAATAATCTGAAACAGTGGGCAGAATGTAATGGTAAGGACTCAAGAATCAGGCTGCTGGGATTTATCTCAGCTCTAGCACTTAGAGCGTCTATCGTATTAATCCACCTGTGCCTCAGCTTTTCTTTGTATAAAATGGAAATAATAATAGCACTAACCTTGTAAGATTGCTGTAAAGATTAACGGAGGTGAGACATAACATGTTTAATGTTGCCTGGCACCTACTACATGCTCCTGTGCCGGTGGTGATAGCAGTTATTTATTTGAGGAGATGGGAAATTCTACCTGTCCTTCAGAATAAGTGACTTGCCTAGGACAGTGGTCAGATGGAGGTTCCCATAGGGGCCTGTCACGTCCATGACAACCTGCCACCTCCCTACTCCAACTTTTTGTTTCAGTATGTGGCACGTACTAACTACCTGTCTGGTGGTGATCCATGTGCATTATTAATGCTGGACTGGAGTTGAGGATTCAGGAACTCCTATGTGGAAACAGATAACATTTAAAATGTTATAGAATGTGTAATTTTAAGATATTAAATATTTTAAGAATAGGATATTGTATAATTAAAACAATTTATTCTGATTTAGGAGTAAAAAACTGTTCTATTACTTAGTTAACTAGGAGCCTCTCTTGATTTTCTCTCCCTTTAGTGGCATCATTGGGCGAAGCTGGGCTATGTTGTTTGCCAGTGGAGGCTTCAAGGTGAAACTGTGTGATATTGAGCAACAGCAGATAACAGACGCCCTAGAAAACATCAGGTAAGTCAGCTGGCAACTCTGGGAGGAACATTGACTCTGTTGCTCTCAGCAGGTCTTATTTATCGCGCTCTCAAGGCCATCAGCATGTGTGACTTCACTTTTTCACTTCATGGCTGTTACAGTGCTATTGAACTGGTAAAGGCCAGGCCTGCAGCAGTGGAGTAGTGAACTAAGAAGAGGCTCAAATTGTGAGGAAAGGACCCTTAGGGTTGTAAAGATGTATGATGGGAGTAGGGAAACTGACCGTGGATCTCAGGCTTCCAGTCTGAATGAGTTTGTAAACTTCTGCTGTGTCCTGCAGGGCTGCAGGCCTGGGTATCCTTGCTTCTCTGTGGGCTGGTGAGCTGGTGAGGTGGCTTTCACCATGTGAGAACCACAGCTGCATGGGCATTACATCTTAGGAGCAGAGGTCCTCAGGTTTGTTTTGACCTATTAATCTAATGACAGCAGGACCCAGTTTAGCTGTGGTAACTGTAGTAAAGTTGTAAGAGTAGGTGAGCTTACCAGATGCTGAGGGGTGAGTTTTAGGCATAACCACATTGGGTAGAAGAAGCTAATGCAGTGTGCCAGAAGGCAAGGTGCCCAGATGCCCACCCACCTGAGATGATGGTCACTGAACACAATTTGACCGTCTCAGTTGTCATTTTATTCAGGAGCTGTCCATGAATGTGTAACTCGAATTTGCATTTTTTTGTAACATTCTTTATCATTTACTTTCTGAAAAGACTAATATATAGGGTGTGATGTCAGGCTATAGGCATCAAGAAATTATATACTTGAGTCTAATTCTGTTGTGTAAGAGATTAAGAACCTGAAATCCAGAGAAGTCAAGTTGCTTGTTACATATAGTGACATGTAGCCAATTTCAAGATAAAATGTCAATCTAAAAAACAAACAAAAATTCCAAAATGAAACAACCACTATATAGCCACCAATGCTTTATTCTGCCCTGCTATGGAAGGAAGAGGAATTAACATAAATACCTACTGCATCCCAGGCATGTGCTATTCACTAATAATACACAGGGGAACAAAACAGATATAGCCCTTTTCACCATGGAGCTTATAGTCTAGTAATTTTACAATATTAATTCTCATAGTAAACCCACTGAAGCAGATATTATTGCAATTATTTTATGAGAAAAGTTAGGTCTAGCTTTGGTCTGTGTATACATTAAGGGTGGGTCTGAGCTCTTCAGCACCCTTCTATACTATTGGCTTTATAGAGATTCTGCAAATACTACTTTTAATATAATATCTGATATATGCAACCAAATAGATCACCTCCTCTGCTAGTTTATGAAGAATATAATAAAATGAACATTAATAAACCTGCTACCCAACTTGAGACCTAGAACCTTATCAATACCCTGTGTGCGCCTTGTGGGTTTGATCCCCCTGACTTCCTACCAGAAGCAACAAATATCCTTTATTTTGTACTTACTATTACCTTGCCTAAAAGATAGTTTTATCATATATTTGTATCCCCAAACAATATATGGTTTAGTTTTGTTCATTTTTGTACTTTATAAGAATACTTTTGAGATTCATCCATGTTATTTCTTGTAGGTGTAGTACATCTGTTTTCATTGCTATATAATATTTTGCTCTGTGACTTTGCTATAAATTATTTCTCTTTTATCCTTTTGATGAACATTAGAGCTGTTTCCAGTTTGGGGCATATGTCTCCCAGTACATAAGTGTAAGAGTGTCTGCAGTGTAAATACCAAAGAATGAGATTGCTGGGTCTGTTTTTCCTTCTGGGATCATGATTATGTGTATATTGAACAAACTTATTCACATCTTTTAACCTCTCTCTCTTTTTTGTCTTTGTCTTACCCTGACTTTCTTTTTCCTTTTTATTGAATTTATTGGGGTGACACTGGTTTACAAAATTATACAGGTTTCAGGTGCACAATTCTACAATACATCATCTGTATACTGTTTTAACCTCTCTTTTATATATTCTTTCTCCCTGTCCCTTTGGAATATATTCTGGTTACACTTTTTAGATCTTTCTCCTAGTTCACTAATTCTAGTTTTAGCTGTGCCTAATCTGCTGTTTAAACCATCCACTGAGTTTATTTCAATAATTAAATTTTCGTTTTAAAAGTTATATTTCATACTTTCCCAAATATACCTGTTTATTTTCAATAGTTTTTCATCATTTGCTCATCCTTTGTGGTTCCACTTTTTAAATCTTTGAGCATTTAATATACGTTGTTTTATATTATGTTGCCTTAGATCGGGATCCTCAGAATCAGTTCCTGAGATGAGGGTTCCTAGGCCAGGGTTTGATAAGGAAGTGCTCCCAGAAGCCAGTGTGGGAATGAGGGGACAGGATAAGGAAGACAAAGAAGCCAACTGAAGACATGGTTTTAGAAGTCTCAGGCTCATCAAGATTCCAGGGGATTTCTGGAACATGAAGTACTCTGTAAAAGTCTTTAACCCCTGAAGGCAAAGAGCTTAGCTTTCATATTCCTGTATCAGTCATTGTCTGGGGCCCTCCTTGGTCGATGTGAACTCCCAGGTACTTCCAGTTTTCTGGTCTGGGTCTGATCTACTCTGAGGGAGAGGGCAGGTGTAAGCCTTTAGCAACAAAGAATTCAAAAGCTGGGGGTTTGGCACTCACTGCTGGTTAAAGGGTTTCAGAGATCTGGGTAGAACACCAATGGCCTCCACTACAGAAATCATTGAGGGACTTTACCCTGGTTGGTGTGACTCAGTTAGTTGGATATCACCCCATGCAGTGAAAGGTTGCCTGGTTGATTCCTGGTCAGGGCACATGCCCGCATTGTGGGCTTGACGCCTGGCAGGGGGCCCGCAGGAGGCAACTGGTTGTTGCTTTGCTTTCACGTCACTGTTTCTCTCTTTCTCTCTCTCTCCCATCCTCTCTCTCAAAGTCAATAAAAAAAAAATCTTTAAAAAATCATTGGGGGGCTTTAAATAAAAGAATTTTCCCCCTGACAGACTTATTCCTACTTTCGTTCATTAAAAGAATCACTGATTGAGCGCCTCTTCTGTGCTCATCTTAGCCCTGGCAATTCAGTAGTAAATACAGTAGGTTGAGATCTCTAATCTTGAGGATTCATATTTTACAGGGAGAGGGAAGAGTGAGAAGTAGATCGTCCAAAATGAATTAGTGAAATATACGGTGTGTCAGATCAGGGGTCCCCAGACACCACCAGCTGGCCACACCTGGCCTGCAGCTTGTTTTGTGTATCCCATGAGCTAAGATTGGATTATAAAGTAAAAAAAGAGGAAAAGGTAACAGAGACCTTATGTGGCCACAAAGCCTAACATATCACTATGTGACCTTTACAGAAAAAGTTTCTTGGTCTCCATGTTAAATAGTTGAGATTCTGACTTGTAGATTTTTTCCCCCTGTACCACCAAGCAATTCTCTGACACCAGCTGGGTGTCCTACAATCAGTCTTCATGGAGATAGCATCAGATTTCACAGGTTATGGGCTTGGTCCCACAAGACTGTCCTCCACTTCAGATGCCAGGTTGTCACCTGGGCTTCTGACCAACTGGCTGTAAATCAGAGGTTCCTACCACCACTCCTTAGGTTTGATTAATTTGCTAGAGCAGCTCACAGAACTCAGGAAACCAATGTACTTACTAGGTCACCTGTTTATTATAAAAAGATATAATAGCAAGATGGAGAGATGCATAGAGCAAGGTTTATGGGAAGGAGTGTTGAGCTTTCATGCTCTCTGGGAGCATCACTCTCCACAAATCTCCTTATGTTCACCAACCCAGAAGCTCCCTGAACCCTGTCCTTTTGGGTTTTTATGGAGGCTTTATTTCATAGGCATAATTGATTAAATCTTTGGCCATTGGTGATTGAACTCAGTCTCCAGCTTCTCTCCCCTCTCTTGTCAGGGCTGAAAGCTCATTTCTTTTAGCTGACTAATATTCCCTTTCTGGATGTACCAGAGTTTTCTTATTCACTCACCTACTTAAAGACATCTGGTTGTTTCCAAGTTTGGCAATTATGAATAAAGCTTCTATAAACATCTGTGTGCAGGTTTTGGTGTAGACAGAAGTTTCATATCTTTTGAGTAAATTCTGAGGAGTGTAATTGGTGGATCATATGGTAAGAGTATGTTTAATTTTGTAAGAAACCATCAAACTGTCTTCTCAGGTTGCTTTACCATTTTGCATTTCCAACAGCAATTAATGAGAGTTTCTGTTACTCATTACCCTTCCCAGCATTTGGTGGTGTCAGTGTTCTGGATTTTGGCCCTTCTGATAGGTGCATAATGGTATCTCATTTTAATTTGAAAAGGAGCACCTTTTCACATGCTTATTTGCCATTTATATATCTTCTTTGAGTTCTTTTTCTGTTTTTCTTTTTTTGATTAAAAGGGGAGCCTTGAAAATTATCCTTACTTGCTGTACTTGTGAATCCCCAATGCATAAATTCTTTTTATACAGGATGTAAACAGGAGGCCCTTCAGAGGTTCTGGACTACCATAGTGTTGGAAGTAGAAATCTTTAAAAGTCTTTAGATAAAATTTAAACCTCAATTAAAGCAGCTCAAAAGCCATATGTTCTATTGTAATAGAAGAAATTACAGTTGACTCTTGAACAACACAGATTTGAACTGCATGGGTCCACTTACATGTAGGTTTTTTTCAGTAAATACCTGTACTGTACTGTTTTTGATCCATGGTTGAGAGCCTGTCTGAGGACACTGAGGACCGACTATGCATTGTGTCTACATATGCTGTTATATAGGGGACTTGAGCATCCACAGATTTTGTTATCTGTGGGAGTCCTGGAACCAGTCTCCATGCATACCAAGGGACAATTTAAGTTTTTGGGGAGTCAAAAGTTATCTGTGGATTTTTGACTGGGGGTGTGTATCATGCCCTACCGTCCGCATTGTTCAAGGATCAGTGGTATGTACCTCTTGAGAGAACATTTACTAATCATAGAAAAGGAGCCAAGAAGAAGAGGATTTCCTCAGATGGAGTAAGAGTGTTTTTAAAA